ACCAGTTTAACGTTGAATATTATTTGTAATTTTAACTTTATACACAAGTACCAAAATACTATAATTGGTATAATGTCCTTTTATTAATGGCTTGAAAAATACACTGATCATTTATAGAAATTGGCTTTAACAGCATTAAGGATGAAAATTTTAAGCTCTATTACACTTTAAGTTCTCATTTTAATTTCTTTTGAAGTGAAGTTTTTCAAAGCAAAATTAGATATTACTGACTAGTGTTTTACATTTTATTTTAAACATTCGTATTATTACTCGAATTGTTCACAGATAGCAGCACTTGTGAGTGAAAAGAACTAAGCGAGATAAGTTGCGAGAAAGGAACATTCGTGACAGTAGACAGCATAATACTATTAGTTTTTTTCACACAAAATTATATATATATTGAGTGTAAAAATTATCTTTGACTACTTAGTGGTGTGAAAGCTGGAAAGAATGTGATCGGCTACAGTTGGCTGACATTCTTGTTAAACCTATGCAACGCCTGACCAAATATACTCTCCTCCTGAAAGCCATCCTTAAAAAAACAGACGACGAAGAACAAGTTTGTCCCTTGATTGAAATGGTAAGTTGTTGAATGCGACTATAGTGCCATCTTTCATATGTTATTGTTATAATTTAAGATATCATACATAATAATATCATAAAATCATAATTTTCAAAACAATCAGAGTTTTCTTAATATTCAGTGCTTTTAATTATATAAAATAATCATTCAAACTTAGCAGTGAGCTCATCAAAAAATATCTTATGTTTTCTGATATTCGGTTATTATGATAAAAATTTAGAAACAAGTACTGGTTTTTAACGAACATTCAAACTAATGTTCATCTCTTTGTCATAAGATGCTCATGAAGTCGATCCAAACACACTTGAGGATAAACCAGTATTAAAGTTACAGTACAAGTATGGAAATAAATCGTGAATAATCGTAAATAAAATCACAACCTATATCTCCAGAGTGTAACTTTATTAGCTCAATATTTCGCTATTACAACTTCTTCAGGAGTTATAGATATCCTAAAAATTCACTAATCCAGTTAAATCTAAATTGGAATACTGTCAATCGTAAATCGAACATTGCTACACGTGTTTAGAAAGTTCATGTTATATTAAAATAATATGAAACATACAATATGAACTTTCTAAACACGTGTAGCAATGTTCGATTTACGATTGACAGTATTCCAATTTAGATTTAACTGGATTAGTGAATTTTTAGGATATCTATAACTCCTGAAGAAGTTGTAATAGCGAAATATTGAGCTAATAAAGTTACACTCTGGAGATATAGGTTGTG